GGGAGGAAGGGAAGGGGGAAAGGGAGGGAAGGGAAAGGGAGGGAGGGGAGAGGGAGGAAGGGAAGGAGAGAAGGAGGGGGAAAGGGAGGGAGAGGGAAGGAGGGAGGAGGAAGGAGAGGGAGGAAGGGTAGAGAAGGAGGGAGGGAGAGGGAAGGAGAGAAGGGGGAGGGAGGGAAGGGAGGAGGGGGAAAGGAAGGGAGAGGGAAGGGAGGGAGTAGGAATGGGAGAGGGAGGAAGGGAAGGAGGGGGAGACAGGGAGGGAGAGGAAAGGAGAAAGAGACAATGTGAGCCGATGGAAGTCAAGGGGGAATTGCAGCCACTCGCTTTACCCCACTCTGGCAAAAAGAATTTGGATCGCGTGACCCCCCCGGGGAACGTCCCGACGGTCGTTAAGTGTAAAAACGACGGCCCCAAGTCCCTTGTTTCCAATGCCGTTGTAACTTCGGTCACTAAACAAAACGTCGTAAGTCGAGGACTACCTTTTATTGGTTATTTTTTTTTTAAAAAAAAAGATCACCAGTTGATTGGCTTGCTAAACAACGGCCTCTCCCTGCTTCCCCCCAAGCCACAGCCTCCTCCCCCCCGTGAAAGCTCAGAGCCCCCCCAAATTCATTTACCCCACCCCACCCCGACGGCCTCTTTGTACCCTTGCTGATGTGATGGGGGGCGCAAAGAAAGTGTCCCCGCAGGTCACCTGGGTGGGGTCCTCCAGGGTGAAGGTCCTCTCCCGCAGGTCTCCTATCAGCTCGTCGCTCAGCAGCCCCTAAGGGGGGAAGGAAAAGGAAGGCGGGCATCAGCCAGGTCGAGCTTACACTCGGAGGATGGAGCTGGACCAGGAGGGGCAGCCTGGAGACCAGCTCGGTCCGTCCCCGAGTCCCTTTTTCTGGCTCCGAGCAACTTCCCGACACAAAACAGGGAGTCACCGGGAAGCTTAAGGCAGTTTCTCCCGGCCAATTGACCTCCAGATGTGTCGGAGGAGAACGGAATGGAATGGAATAGATTCAGAATAGAATAGAATAGAATGGAATAGAATAAGGAATAGAATATAATAAGGAATAGAATAGAATAAGATAGAATAGAGTAGGAATAGGAATAGGAATGATAGAATAGGAATAGAAGTAGAATAGAATAAGGAATAGAATAAGGAATAGACTAGAATAGAATAAGGAATAGAATAAGGAATAGAATAGAATAGAATAAGGAATAGAATAGAATAAGGAATAGAATAGAATAAGGAATAGAATAGAATAGAATAAGGAATAGAATAGGAATAGAATAGAATAAGGAATAGAATAGAATAAGGAATAGAATAGAATAGAATAAGAAATAGAATAGGAATAGAATAGAATAAGGAATAGACTAGACTAGACTATAGAATAGAATAAGGAATAGAATAGAATAAGGAATAGAATAGAATAGAATATAGAATAGAATAAGGAATAGAATAAGGAATAGAATAGAATAAGGAATAGAATAGAATTATGGGATAGAATAGAATAGAATTATGCGATAGAATAGAATAGAGCTAGAAGGGACCTTGGAGGTCTTCTAGTCCAGCCCCCCCCCTCCCCGCTCGAGCCGGAGAACCTATACCAGGGGTAGGCAACCTTGGCTCTTTTATGACTCGTGGACTTCAACTCCCAGAATTCCTGAGCCAGCATGGCTCAGCTTGGAAACCTCTCCCTTTCCCCTCAGCATGGCTGGCTCAGGAATCCTGGGAGTTGAAGTCCATGAGTCATAAAAGAGCCAAGGTTGCCTACCCCTGAGCTATACCATCTCAGACAGGTGACTGTCCAGCCTCTTCTTAAAAGCCTCCAGTGATGGAGCGCCCAGGATTTCTGGTGGCCAGCTGTTCCACAGGTTAATTGTCCTCACTGCCAGGAAGTCTCTCCTTAATTCCAGGTTGCTTCTCTCTTTGACCAGCTTCCAACCATTGTTTCTCGTCCTGCCCTCTGGTGCTTTGGTGATCAACCTGCCCCCCCCCCTCTGCCTTGTGGCAGCCCCCCCGCCCAAATACCGGAACGCTGCTATCATGTCCCCCCTATTTCTTTTTTTTCTTTAGACTACTAGCCAAACCCAAGTCCCGCAGCCGTCCTTCGGATGCTTTAGCCTCCAGGCCTTGGATCCTCTTAGCTGCTCTTCTCTGAACTTTTTCCCAAACTGTCCAGAACAAGGCTTCCCCACCGGATGGAACTCACCAAAAACCCATTCTCCCGGTTCCGACATTTTTCTCCCTCACAACGACAGTCCTCCGAGCAGGCCAGTTTCTGTTTCCGACAACCGCACTGCTTGTTCCCGCNGGAAGGGTAGAGAAGGAGGGAGGGAGAGGGAAGGAGAGAAGGGGGAGGGAGGGAAGGGAGGAGGGGGAAAGGAAGGGAGAGGGAAGGGAGGGAGTAGGAAGGGGAGAGGGAGGAAGGGAAGGAGGGGGAGACAGGGAGGGAGAGGAAAGGAGAAAGAGACAATGTGAGCCGATGGAAGTCAAGGGGGAATTGCAGCCACTCGCTTTACCCCACTCTGGCAAAAAGAATTTGGATCGCGTGACCCCCCCGGGGGAACCTCCCGACGGTCGTTAAGTGTAAAAACGACGGCCCCAAGTCCCTTGTTTCCAATGCCGTTGTAACTTCGGTCACTAAACAAAACGTCGTAAGTCGAGGACTACCTTTTATTGGTTATTTTTTTTAAAAAAAAAAAGATCACCAGTTGATCGGCTTGCTAAACAACGGCCTCTCCCTGCTTCCCCCCAAGCCACAGCCTCCTCCTCCCCCCCGTGAAAGCTCAGAGCCCCCCCAAATTCATTTACCCCACCCCACCCCGACGGCCTCTTTGTACCCTTGCTGATGTGATGGGGGGCGCAAAGAAAGTGTCCCCGCAGGTCACCTGGGTGGGGTCCTCCAGGGTGAAGGTCCTCTCCCGCAGGTCTCCTATCAGCTCGTCGCTCAGCAGCCCCTAAGGGGGGAAGGAAAAGGCAGGCGGGCATCAGCCAGGTCGAGCTTACACTCGGAAGATGGAGCTGGACCAGGAGGGGCAGTCTAGAGACCAGCTCGGTCCGTCCCCGAGTCCCTTTTTCTGGCTCCGAGCAACTTCCCGACACAAAACAGGGAGTCACCGGGAAGCTTAAGGCAGTTTCTCCCGGCCAATTGACCTCCAGATGTGTCAGAGGAGAACGGAATGGAATGGAATAGATTCAGAATAGAATAGAATGGAATAGAATAAGGAATAGAATAGAATAAGGAATAGAATAGAATAAGATAGAATAGAGTAGGAATAGGAATAGGAATGATAGAATAGGAATAGAAGTAGAATAGAATAAGGAATAGAATAAGGAATAGACTAGAATAGAATAAGGAATAGAATAAGGAATAGAATAGAATAAGGAATAGAATAGAATAGAATAAGGAATAGAATAGAATAAGGAATAGAATAGAATAAGGAATAGAATAGACTAAAATATAGAATAAAATAAGGAATAGAATAGAATAAGGAATTGAATAGAATAGAATATAGAATAGAATAAGGAATAGAATAGAATAGAATAAGGAATAGAATAGAATAAGGAATAGAATAGAATAAGGAATAGAATAGAATTATGCGATAGAATAGAATAGAGCTAGAAGGGACCTTGGAGGTCTTCTAGTCCAGCCCCCCCCTCCCCGCTCGAGCCGGAGAACCTATACCAGGGGTAGGCAACCTTGGCTCTTTTATGACTCGTGGACTTCAACTCCCAGAATTCCTGAGCCAGCATGGCTCAGCTTGGAAACCTCTCCCTTTCCCCTCAGCATGGCTGGCTCAGGAATCCTGGGAGTTGAAGTCCACGAGTCATAAAAGAGCCAAGGTTGCCTACCCCTGAGCTATACCATCTCAGACAGGTGACTGTCCAGCCTCTTCTTAAAAACCTCCAGTGATGGAGCGCCCAGGATTTCTGGTGGCAAGCTGTTCCACAGGTTAATTGTCCTCACTGCCAGGAAGTCTCTCCTTAATTCCAGGTTGCTTCTCTCTTTGACCAGCTTCCAACCATTGTTTCTCGTCCTGCCCTCTGGTGCTTTGGTGATCAACCTGGCCCCCCCTCTGCCTTGTGGCAGCCCCCCCCCCAAATACCGGAACGCTGCTATCATGTCCCCTCTATTTCTTTTTTTTCTTTAGACTACTAGCCAAACCCAAGTCCCGCAGCCGTCCTTCGTATGCTTTAGCCTCCAGGCCTTGGATCCTCTTAGCTGCTCTTCTCTGAACTTTTTCCCAAACTGTCCAGAACAAGGCTTCCCCACCGGATGGAACTCACCAAAAACCCATTCTCCCGGTTCCGACATTTTTCTCCCTCACAACGACAGTCCTCCGAGCAGGCCAGTTTCTGTTTCCGACAACCGCACTGCTTGTTCCCGCAGCGGCCTCGGCAGGTGCACTAGAGGAGATTCCCCCCGCCCCAGGAGAAAAGTCAGGGAGAGAACACACACCCCACCGGAAAAGGACGGTGAGAAGGAAAGCACCAACGCCAAGACCCAACAGTCCCCGCCCCCCAAGGCCAGAAGACGGGCAGGTGGGCTGAGAAGACAGTGAAGGAGGGCCAGGGTGGGGTGGTGGCAAAGGGGCTGGCTGGGAAACCAGGAGACGGGGAGTTCTAGTCCCCCCCTTGGGCTTGAAAGACAGAGCTGGGTGACTTTGGGGCCAATCGCCAGGAGACGGTGAGTTCTAGTCCTGCCTGAGGCCTGAAAAACTGGCTGGGCGGTTTTGGGCCAGCCAATCGCTAGGAGACTGTAAGTTCTAGTTCTACCTTAGGCATAAAAGCCAACGGGGTGATTTGGGGCCAATCACTAGGAGACGGTGAGTTCTAGTCCCGCCTTAGGCCTGAAAGACAGCTGGGTGACTTTGGGGCCAATCGCCAGGAGACGGTGAGTTCTAGTCCGCCTTAGGCCTGAAAGACATCTGGGTGACTTTGGGACCAATCACCAGGAGACGGTGAGTTCTAGTCCCACCTTAGGCCTGAAAGACAGCTGGGTGACTGTGGGCCAATCACCAGGAGACGGTGAGTTCTAGTCCCGCCTTAGGCCTGAAAGACATCTGGGTGACTTTGGAGCCAATCACTAGGAGACGGTGAGTTCTAGTCCCGCCTTAGGCCTGAAAGACTGTTGGGTGACTTTGGGGCCAATCACTAGGAGACGGTGAGTTCTAGTCCCGCCTTAGGCCTGAAAGACAGCTGGGTGACTTTGGAGCCAATCACTAGGAGACGGTGAGTTCTAGTCTCGTCTTAGGCCTGAAAGACAGCTGGGTGACTTTGGGGCCAATCACGAGGACCCGGTGAGTTCTAGTCCCGCCTTAGGCCTGAAAGACAGCTGGGTGACTTTGGGGCCAATCACTAGGAGACGGTGAGTTCTAGTCCCGCCTTATGCCTGAAAGACAGCTGGGTGACTTTGGGGCCAATCACTAGGTGAGTTCTAGTCCCGCCTTAGGCCTGAAAGACAGCTGGGTGACTGTGGGCCAATCACCAGGAGACGGTGAGTTCTAGTCCTGCCTTAGGCCTGAAAAACTGGCTGGGTGATTTTGGGCCAGCCAATCAGTAGGAGACTCTACGTTCTAGTTCCATCTTAGGCACAGAAGCCAACTGGGTGATTTCGGGCCAATCAACTAGGAGACGGTGAGTTCTAGTCCTACTTTAGACAAAAATGCCGACTAGGTGATGCTAAGCCAGTGCCTCTTTCTCAGCCCAGCTTACCTTACAGTTGTGGAGAAAATGATAGGAGGAGGGAGTATGAGGTGTATTGAGTTATATATGGAAAAAAGGGCAGAAAGAAAATCTAAAGAAAAAGAAAAAAGGAAAGAAACCCAGATCTTAAGGTAGGTAGGTAGGTAGGTAGGTAGGTAGGTAAGAAGGAAGGAAGGAAGGAAGGAAGGAAGGAAGGAAGGAAGGAAGGAAGGAAGGACTCAAGACCCAGTTAGAGAATCCCAGGGCCTGGTGCTCACAGAATTCCAGCCTGCGGAAATTCTTCCTAGCAATTGCAGTTTAGCATCTAACCAATCATCTCACTCCCGTCTGGCAATATGGAGGCCTTCAGATCCCTCCCGTGAGCGCGTGCACACCCTTTGTCCATTTGAAATAATTCATTTTAAACTCATTTTACTTCAAAGATTCATATCTGGAACTGAAGGAGCTTAGACCAGGGGTCTTCAAACTTGGCCCTTTGTTGACTTGTGGACTTCAATTCCCAGAATTCCTCATCCAGCGTGAGGGAACTATGGCCCTTTGATGACTTGTGGACTTCAATTCCCAGAATTCCTCAGCCAGCATGCCTGGCTGAGGAATTCTGGGAGTTGAAGTCCACAAGTCATCAAAGGGCCAAGTTTGAAGGGCCCTGCTTGTGGACTTCAACTCCCAGAATTCCTCAGCCAGGCACGCTGGCTGAGGAATTCTGGGAGTTGAAGTCCACAAGTCGTGAAAGGGCCGAGGTTGAAGACCCCTGGCTGGTCCGCCTTTCGGCAGGGAAAGAAAGAAAGGAATTCGACTCAACGGCTGCCAGCTTAAGACAGAAAAAGCGAGCCTCCATATTCAGGAGCAGTCTCCTGGAAAACTGAGGAGAGTGACATGAAGGAGGATTTCTCCCTGTCACTCACGTACCCCTAAAATGCTCTTCCTCATGCCTCGGGCAATTTTGGGCGGCACCCACTCATCCTCCGCTTCTTCTGCCGACTCAGAGGATTCGGAGAAGGGGTCTTCGGGACTCATTTCGGATTTTGCTTTCGCGCTGGTCATCCGGCGAAACTTCGGCTGAAGAAGGAGGGAAGACATCTGAGTTTTTAGCCGAAGGAAGGGCAAAGAGTACTTCAGAGGGTTAGTTTAGGCCAGGGGTAGGCTCTTTTATGACTCGTGGACTTCAACTCCCAGAATTCCTGAGCCAGCATGGCTCAGCTTGGAAACCTCTCCCTTTTCCCTCAGCGTGGCTGGCTGAGGAATTCTGGGAGTTGAAGTCCACCAGTCATAAAAGAGCCAAGTTTGAAGACCCCTCAGTTAGAGGAACATATGAAAGCATAATTAATGTTAATTAATGTAGACTTTATTAGTTTAGAGCAGGGGTAGGCAACCTTGGCTCTTTTATGACTCGTGAACTTCAACTCCCAGAATTCTTGAGCCAGCATGGCTCAGTTTAGAAACCTCTCCCTTTCCCCTCAGCATGGCTGGCTGAGGAATTCTGGGAGTTGAAGTCCACCAGTCATAAAAAAACCAAGGTGGCCTAACCCTGGTTTAGGCAAACTATGGGCAGCTTTGAAGCACAGAGCTACAGACTAAGATGGTGTTTCTCAATCTCTGCGACTTTAAGAGGGGTGGATTTCAACTCCCAGAATTCCCTAGCCAGCCATCCTAGCTGGGGAATTCTGGGAGTTGAAGTCCCGTCTTAAAGCAGACTGGCTGAGGAATTCTGGGAGTTGAAGTCACCCATCTTAAAGCATGCTGGCTGGGGGATTCTGGGAGTGGAAGTCCACCCATCTTAAAGCATGCTGGCTGGGGGATTCTGGGAGTGGAAGTCCACCCATCTTAAAGCAGGCTGGCTGAGGAATTCTGGGAGTGGAAGTCCACCCATCTTAAAGCAGGCTGGCTGAGGAATTCTGGGAGTGGAAGTCCACCCATCTTAAAGCATGCTGGCTGAGGAATTCTGGGAGTTGAAGTCCACCCATCTTAAAGCAGGCTGGCTGAGGAATTCTGGGAGTGGAAGTCCACCCATCTTAAAGCATGCTGGCTGAGGAATTCTGGGAGTGGAAGTCCACCCATCTTAAAGCAGGCTGGCTGGGGGATTCTGGGAGTGGAAGTCCACCCATCTTAAAGCAGGCTGGTTGGGGGATTCTGGGAGTTGAAGTCCACCCAACTTAAAGCAGGCTGGCTGGGGAATTCTGGGAGTGGAGGTCCACCCATTTTAAAACCGCTAGCTGGGGAATTCTGGGAGTTAAAGTCCACCCATCTTAAAGCAAGCTGGCTGGGGAATTCGTTGTGATGAGATGGGCGGCAAATGCATTTAATAAATAACAACAACAACAACATGGTCTTAAGACTTCCAGACTTTTTAGGCAACACGGTCGCTTTGAAATCGCTATCATTACACGGCTGCCGTTTCACAGTAACCGGGACAACGGAAATATTATTAATTTCCCTATTTCTAAGCCTTGCGGAAATGGCCAGCCAACAGAAGACGATGGTGAGGCCAGCCCCTCCCTCGGAAGACTCTCCCCCCCCCCCCAGAGAACACCCACCTTGGGAGGGATGTAATCAAAAGGAGATTCGGGACTGTCTCCCAGTCCGGGATCCACGTGGTAGATCTTCTGCCCGCCAGCAGCCTGGAGAATGGTCAGCTTCTGCGGGAGGCAAGATGGAGGGTGGGTGATGTTTCGCCAGGAAACAGGTGAGGCTACCTGTCCAGGCAGGTGACGCCCTTCCTCGGACTCACCTGCTTGAGCCTCTCCAGCTCTTCGCACAGCTCCTGGTTCTTCTCAAACACCTCTTTCATTTTTCCCAGCTCTTCGTCCTGCAAAGAGAAAGGAAAAGACAGGTGTATTCGTTTAGCGACCGCTTAGCCAAGCTCCAACGGCACCGACAAAAGCGACGAATAGTCGATAAAGGGAACTGGGGTTATTTAAAAGCTGGAAACAGCCAACCCAAGAGAGTCCGCATCGGCTACCTCTTGTCCTGAAACGCTATCGAGACCCTCCCGGATTTAAGGCCATTCCCCCCCCCACCTTACCTGGAATCTGAGGCGCTCAAGAAGCTGCTGCTCCCGTTCCGAAATGGAAGTTTCCAGCCTGTTTTCAGCGTCTTCGTTTTGCGGGACTTGGCTGAGCAGGTAGAAGATCTGTCAAAGGGACAGGAAAGACGGTGGCAGCGTTTGGGAAGAGAAGGCGAAGCCTTCCTCGGCCCAGGAAGTGGAGGTCCCATAATCCACAGCTTCACCGGGCTTTCTCCCTCCTCTTAATAGCATTTAGGCTCCAAGCCAGCTTCGGAGTTGGTGCCTGAGGGTGCCGGACTCGGTGGGGACGGGGAAGCTGGATCCCCTGAACCACATTCTTATGCAGGGGGTCTTCCAACTCAGCCCTTTGATGACTTGTGGACTTCAACTTCCAGAATTCCTCAGCTAGCGTGAGGGAACTATTGGGCCTTTTATGACTTGTGGACTTCAACTCCCAGAATTCCTCAGCCAGGCACGCTAGCTGAGGAATTCTGGGAGTTGAAGTCCACAAGTCATAAAAGGGCCAAGTTTGAAGACCCCTGCTCTTATGGGTAGTACTCAATGTACAACCGCAATTGAGCCCCAAAGGTAGGTGTCGCTAAGCGTTAAAACTGAATTCCCCCCGTTTTACGACTTTTCTGGCCACATGTGTTAACTTCCGTCATTAAATGAGTAACCTGATTGTTGTTAATAATAATAATAATAACAATAATAAAAAAAGTTGGCAGGAACCTTGGAGGTCATCTAGTCCAACCCCCTGCTCAGGCAGGAAACCCTATCCCATTTCAGACAAATGGTTAAGTGAATCTGGTTTCTGCCGTCGACTTTGCTTATCAGAACCTCACAAAAAAAGGGGACCCTGCGACCGTGTCGTAAATAGGGGCCCGTTGCCAAGTGTCCGAATTTCAATCCCCCGACCGCGAGGAGGCTGCAACGCGGTCGTTAAGTGTGAAAAAACGGCCCTAAGTCACTTTTTTCCCCCCCACGCCATTGTAACTTCAAACGGTCAACCACAACTGTGAACTGTGGCAAGTGGAGGATGGCCTGCGCCAACTGGGCAGCCGCGATTCGCTTAACAACGGTGGCAAGAAAGGCCAGGAAATGGGACAAAGCTGGCCGAGACTGTCCTGCTTAGTAACAGAAATTTGCGGGCGGGTCAATTGTGCTTGGAGGTCGAGGACGACCTGGCGATTTCTGTTCTTCGAAAACAGGGTTCATCATTTTCATGAGGGGGGGGTCATTGCGACATTTCTGCAAATGGTGTGTGTGTGTGTGCCAAAGGTGCCTTTTTTCAGGAGGTAACTGAACTTGTTTTTCTTTGAAGACGTTTTGCTTCTCATCCCAGAAGCTTCTTCAGCTCTGAGTGGAGGGTGGGGCATGGAAGGATTTATACTCCTTATAGACAGCCAGTCATTTGCATTTCTTTTAGAGAGTCGTTGAGGCCACTTGGAGGTTGACCTGTGTCCTCAGTTGTCCCAAAGATGCTGTTTCAAGAGGCAACTGGACTTTCTTGTTTTTCTTTGGTTTTGCTTCTCGTCCCGGAAGCTTCCTCAGGTTCTGACTGGATGGTGGGGGAATGGAAGGATTTATACTCCTTGCAGACAGAACTGGTCATTTGCCTTCTTTTAGAGAGTCGTTGAGGCCACTTGGAGGTTTACCTGTGTCCATATTCAGGACAGAGAGGACCGCTGGGTTGAAAGAGGGCTCAAAGAGGCCACCTCGGTCCCAATTCAACAGCCCTCCTTCAACAGAGAGGGAGGGATATGACACCATCTCTCTCCAGTCTACCACACAGCCCTTTCAGCAGTTCCCAGAAGGCTCAGGGGACCCTGAGGACACAGATAAACCTCCAAGTGGCCTCAACGGCCCTCTAAAAGAATGCAAATGACCAGCTGTCTGCAAGGAGTATAAATCCTTCCATTCCCCACCATTTAGTCAGAACTGAAGAAGCTTCCTGGGTGAGAAGCAAAAATAAGAAAGTCCAGTTGCCTTCTGAAAAAAACAAAATCTAAAAGCATCTTTGGGACAACCTGGATGACGGAGAATCTCCGCCATCTTTTTTTTTGGTCCGGGCCGTACCTTCTCCTGGTACTCCTCCTGCACCTGGACCAGGCGCCTCTCCAGCTCGGCCTCCGCGTCGGCAGCCCCCTTCCGCTCCTCCAGAAGCATCTTGTGCACGTCGGCGCAGGCGGTTTTGTTCTGCTGGAGGCGGCTCTCCAGCTTCCCGTTTTCCACTTTGGAGGAGACCAGCTGTTTTTTAGAAGCAAGGAAAATTCCAACACAAGGAGAGGACGTTAGGAGAGCTTCTGGCCACACACACACACACCTCTTGACCAGCAGAGGAACAGCCAAGGTTTGGACCTCCTCTCAAAGGTACCAACCAGCCAGATCGTGGGCCCAGCAAGGAAGGTCCCGGTGCCGTTTCCAGGGTGGCCCCCTGGCTTCTCTGCGCCCCCCCCCCAAACTTACTTCCCCAATCAGGTACTTGATGCCGCACTTGGTTTCCGATAGAGTGGCAATGTTTTCCCAGCGCTGTTTGGTCCGGTCGCTGGACTCGGCGTCCAACAACTTCTGCTGCAGATCTGCAATCTGGGCGCTCCTGTGGAAGGGGGGTCAAAGAGATGGCGGGCTTTAGCAATAGCACTTAAGACTTATATACCGCTTATATGCCACGGTTTACAGAGTCAGCCTCCTTGCGCCCCCCCCCACAATCTGGGTCTTGATTTTACCAACCTCGGAAGGACGGAAGGCTGAGTCAACCTTGAGCCAGTCAGGATTGAACTGCTGGCAGTGGGCAGAGGAAGGAAGGAAGGAAGGAAGGAAGGAAGGAAGGAAGGAAGGAAGGAAGGAAGGAAGGAAGGAAGGAAGGAAGGAAGAAAAGGGAGGAAGGAAGGAAGGAAGAAAGAACAGGGAGGAAGGAAGGAAGGAAGAAAGAACAGGGAGGAAGGAAGGAAGGAAGGAAGGAAGGAAGAACAGGGAGGAAGGAAGGAAGGAAGAAAGGAGAAGAGGGAGGAAGGAAGGAAGGAAGGAAGAAAGGAGAAGAGGAAGGGAGAAAGGAAGGAAGGAAGAACAGGGAGGAAGGAAGAACAGGGAGGAAGGAAGGAAGGAAGGAAGAAAGAAGAAGAGGGAGGAAGGGAGGAAGGAAGGAAGGGAGGGAGGAAGGAAGGAAAAAAGGAAGGAAGGAAGAACAGGGAGGAAGGAAGGAAGGAAGAAAGGAGAAGAGGGAGGAAGGGAGGAAGGAAGGGAGGAAGGAAGGAAGGAAAAAAGGAAGGAAGGAAGGAAGAACAGGGAGGAAGGAAGGAAGGAAGGAGAAGAGGAAGGGAGAAAGGAAGGAAGAAAAGGGAGGAAGGAAGGAAGGAAGAACAGGGAGGAAGGAAGGAAGGAAGGAAGAAAGGAGAAGAGGGAGGAAGGAAGGAAGGAAGGGAGGGAGGAAGGAAGGAAAAAAGGAAGGAAGGAAGAACAGGGAGGAAGGAAGGAAGGAAGGAAGGGAGGGAAGGGCACTAGCAATAGACTTATATACCACTTCCCAATGCTTTGCAGCGCTCTCTAAGCGGTTTAGAGAACCAGCCTCTTGCCCCCAACAATCTGGATCCTGATTTTACTGACCTCGGAAGTCCAGTTGCCTCTTGAAAAAAAGCACCGTTGGGACAACCAGGATTTGGATGACGAAGAATCTCCATAGACATCGAGACCCTAAGTCAGGCATCTTCCAACTTGGCCCTTTGATGACTTGTGGACTTCAACTCCCAGAATTCCTCAGGGAGGCACGCTGGCTGAGGAATTCTGGGAGTTGGTCCACAAGTCATAAAAGGGCCAAGTTGGAGGACCCCTGCTTGTGGACTTCAACTCCCAGAATTCCCCAGCCAGGCACGCTGGCTGAGGAATTCTGGGAGTTGAAGTCCACAAGTCATCGAAGGGCCAAGTTGGGAGACCCCTGCCCTAAGCCATTCCAGACAAACGCCTGTCTCATCTCTTCTTGAAAGCCTCCAGTGATGGAGCACCCACCACTTCTGGAGGCAAGTCGTTCCATTGCTTGATGACTGCCGCTAGCCTGTCCTGCTTTGCGCCTATGGAGGGGTCCAGCTGTCATTCATAACCCTTCCCTCTATTCCACATTTGGTCTTTTGATCATCTTAAGGCAGGGTCTGCCAACCTTGGCCCCTTTTAAGACTTCAACTGCCCAGAAAACTCGCTGGGGAATTCTGAGAGTTGAAGCCCACGGGTTTTAAAGCGGGGACGAGGTCGACAAACCCCGATTGAAGAAGCCAGCTTCTCGTATCCTCTTACCTCAGCTCCATTTCAGTCTCCAAGCTCTCAATCTGCTTGCTGATGGAATGGTTGACTTCCATGGATTTGTAGGAAAAGGTGCGTCTCTGGGAAGGAACAAGAAAACCCAAAGGCTGAGTTTAGTGGGGCGAAATTCCTTTAAAGCCAGGAAACGGGAGGGAATCACCTCCCAGCCCGCTTCCAAAGACCTGGATTAAGATAAGAGGGAAGGACCCCCGCTTTCCCCTCCGGGCTCCCGCATTGCTCACCCTGTATTTGGACGGGAGGACCTCGCCAGCCTCCTGCTTCTCCTTCAGCTGCGCAATCTCTTTGGCCAACGTCCTGCGGTCATCCAGAAGATCGTTTAGATGGTGCCGGGCTTCTTGTATGCTCACGAGAATCTCGACTTCATTCATCAGCCAGTTCTGGGATGGAGGAGAGGATCCTGGTGCCCGGGAATCCATGGCAGCCTCTCTCTCTCTCTCCCACTTGCACCAGGCCACCCTTCCCATCCTCCACTGCCCACCGGGGAAGAAGGCAAGCCTGCTATCCCCAACTGCCGGGAAATCCGAGGGGATCTAAGGAACGAGAGGGTCGTTCGCGGAGCCTCACCTTCACCCGGGCAGCGGCCGCTTCGAACCCCCGGTTCTGAAGGACCTTCCGTTTCGTCCCGGCATCGTGCTGCTTCTGGAGGGCGTCCTTCAAGCGCTTGTTAGCTGCTGCAGCCTGGGAGGGACGGCAGGGAAGGTCAGAAGCTTGGAAGGGAGATGGAGCCTTACAGGGCAGTCCTCGACTTACAACCCGTTGCAGCCAGTCAAGTGATGTGGAGCAACGGAGAGCGTCTGGACAAACTGAATCACTGTCTGGTTTGGTGGCAGCAGAGCCTCAGATAGAAGAGGGTGGTAAGGACAGCCGAGAAGATCATAGGAAGCTTGCTTCCCATTATATAGGATATGGCTTGTAAGCATTCATATGTGCTTAGAGCTCGGAGCATCATTAGAGACCCCCCACACAATCCCACTTCACGGTCTGTTTCTGTTGCTCCCCTCTAGGAGGAGGTTTTGAAGTATTTATAGCGGAACGACTAGATTCTGTAACAAACTTTGTTCGTTTGGCCGAACTAGACTGTGAATGTTTCTGTGTCATATTTGTTTGTGTATGTGAGGGTACATGCATAATTGTGTTTTTTTGAGAGCTGAATGCAACAAAGTTTCGTTTTAATGTATGCTGATTAATGTACATTTAAAGTGACAATAAAGTTTCTATTCTACTCTATTCCATTCCTCTCTTCTATTCTATTCTATTCCATTAATTTGGCCCTGTTTTACGACCTTTCTCGCTGTAGTTGTTAAGTGAATCACTGCAGTTGTTAAGGTAGTAATACCGTTGTTAAGTGAACCCGGCTTCCCTCATTGACTCTGCTTGTCAGAAGGCCGCAAAAGGTGATCACGTGACCCAAGGGGACGCTGCGACCGTCATAAATGAGTCAGTGGCCAAGTGGGCCAATTCTGATCCCGTGATCTTGGGGATGCTGCGACGGCGGTTAAGTGTGAAAAACGGTCATAAGTCACTCTTTTCGCTTCTGTTGTAACTTGGAACGGTCACTAAATGAACGGTTGCAAAGCCGAGGACTACTACGGTTATTCTAAGGGGAAACACGGAGGGGGGACTTCTGAAAGAGGAAAGGAGAGGTGTCAGCGGTCCCTCACTTCTTCGGCTTTCCGTCGGAGGACGGTGGCCTGCTTCTGGAAGTCCTGCTCCAGCTTGACCAGTTCATACTGCCGCTTGCGATCCTGAGGAAGGAGACAAGATTAGATTAGATTAGATTAAGTCAGGGCTTTTCAACCTTTTCACCCACTGTACCACTTTTAGGATATGGCAACATCCGAGTACCACCAGTCGCCTAGCAAGGTGTCAAAAACTTGATGACCCCCCCCCCCCCAAAAAAGGAAAAAAAGTGATGAAGTACAGGTAGTCCTCGACTTACAACAGTTCGCTTAGTGACCGTTCGAAGTTACAATGGCACTGAAAAAAGTGCCCCCCAAGCCACAGCCGAGCAAGACACCTGCCTGCCCGCCCGGCTGCACTCTTCCTCCTGTCCGAGGTTTTCATTGTTGTGAGCGTTTCTGTTGAGGATTGGCAGCAAGAGTGGGGTGGGGGGTGTTTGGTTTTTATTCCCCCCATCTGCTGGGTGGTTGCAGCAGGTTTTGGTCACTTCACATGACCCTGAGACACTGTGACCATCATAAATATGAATCAGTTGCCAAGCATCTGAATGTAAGTCACAAGACCCTGGAGAGGCTGCAACATTCCAGATGATCGGCGCTTCTTCTGGGCTCAGCAGAAGCACCAGGATCAGCGCCGAGCTCCAGCTGGAGCCTGGCGCTGATCCTGGCGCTTCCACTGAGCCCTGACAGTCCCGAAGAAGCGCTGATCCTGGGGCTTCCGCTGAGCCCTGACAGCCCTGCAGCTCCAGCCATCTCTCGCTCAGGCTTGTGCGGTGCTGCCACCGGTTCAGCTCATTCGCCTCCCCCGCTACCACTTTTCTAGGACAGTCGCGTACCACCTGCCAGGTGCCAATGTACCACAGGTGGTACCCGTACAACTGGTTGAAAAGCCCTGGATTAGGTAACCTTTATTGTCATTTTTTCCCCCCTGTGGGCACAACGGCACACAAAATTCAGTTGCTCCCTCTCAAAGCGTACGCCTACACAGCACTCGTTTAAAACATACTACAGTAGTGGCCCAAATGGTGGAAACCTTTTGGGAAAAAGTATACAGTAGAAATGCCACCTTTGGCTTAAGTTTCCACCCGTTTTTTCTTCTCATTTCTTTATAAACTGTAGCCTCGCTCACTTAATAATGCTATTTTACGTCGCTTTCTGGGCGACCGGTCAACTCTTCGCAATTGGGTGACGGTCTGGGCTATTCCCAGGCCTTATGATTATCTTGAAAGCACTTTTTGCGCCCAGCAGCAACGTGACATGGAGCTGAATCCTGAAAAAAGCGCCTTTGGGATCTCCGTGCCGGGCCAGCTGATTTTAAGGAAGGTGCTTCCGCGGGGGAATGTCCAAATGTCCAGCTCACCTGGGCCTTCAGCTGGATGACTTCCTTGTCCTTCTGCTGCTTCCACTGGCGGAATTTCTCCGCGTCTTCTTTCATCTGCCGAATCAGCTGAATGCGCTGGTTTTTCATGGCCTACAAGTTGACAAAAAAGGGGATTTTAGGGGGGGGGGAGACAGAACCCATGAGAATGGTAGATAATTAATTCTTAATTAATTTTAAAATAAGAATAGGCCTATTGAATATATCTTTTAATTGATTTTAAATTTTGTAGATTTGTATCGATTGTTTTGTTTTAATTGGCTGTAAGCCGCCCTGAGTCCACTAGGAGAAGGGCGGGATATAAATGCAATAAACTTGAAACTTGAACTTGAAAAGAGTTCTAGTTCAAATCGAGGAAGCCGTGCTTAAGAGAGGCGAACAGGTTAAGTGTGAGGCATTTTGTCGGTAAAAAAAAATGCCTCCCATTTTTACTGACGAGCTTTGGGGAACGGGTTATATCGCCAGCCATCTTCATCTTCCATAATTAAAGGAGCGGGCTTCCAAACTTCGGCGTGTCGTAGACACGCAAACACATGTCCCGTATACATCTATGCATTTGCTTTCCTTTTTTAATATCCCAAGGTGGACACTCAGCTGGGTGACTTTGGGCCAATCACCAGGTGACAGTGAGTTCTAGTCCTGCCTTAGGCATGAAAGCCGGCTGGGTGACTTTGGGCCAATCAGCAGGAGACAGTGAGTTCTAGTCTGCCTCAGGCATGAAAGACACTGGGTGACTTTAGGCCAATCACCAGGTGCTTGTGAGTTCTAGTCCTGCTTTAGGCATGAAAGCCACCTGGGTGACTTTGGACCAATCCCCAGGTGCCTGTGAATTCTAGTCCCACCCTAGGCATGAAAGCCACCTGGGTGACTTTGGACCAATCCCCAGGTGCCTGTGAATTCTAGTCCCACCCTAGACATGAAAGCCACCTGGGTGACTTTGGACCAATCCCCAGGTGCCTGTGAGTTCCAGTCCTGCCTTAGGCACGAAATTTCGTTGTTGACTTACACAACGACAATAAAAAATATTCTATTCTAAAGCCGGCTGGGTGACTTTGGGCCAGTCCCTCCCTCCCTCCCTCCGCGTAATCCACCCCACAGGGCTGTTGTGGTGGGGAAAATTGGAGGAAACAAGCCACCAAATCAATACATCAATCTCGTTTACCCAGATTTCCTGGTGGAGCTTGGAGACGGTCTGCTCGCTGGATGCTTTCATCTTCAGCAGCTTAGACTGTTCCTTCAGCTTCTTCTTTAGCTCCGTCATCTCCCCTTCCAGCTCCTGGAGACGTTTCCGCCGACGTTCGCTCAGCCTGAAGGGAGATCGGAGTCAGAGGGTCCGAAGCCCGGCAACCCCACCCGGAGACCCTTCCCCTAAGAGGCTAACGACCAGGCACCCGTGCCCCTTACTTGGCTTGGGTGACGTCCTTCTTGTTGATCTGCAGGGCGAGGACCAGGTCTTCCTTCTCCTTCTGCAGCTTGGTCACCTCCTCTTCCAGGTTCTTGATGTTGATCTTGTCCAAAGGGAAAAGAAAAAACAGTCAAGTTGGAGTCTTGGGGAGGGAGTCCAACTGCCCAGATGTCACAAAGGGCCACTTGCTCTGGCCAGCCAGCCAGCCTCCCTCAACTCTTCTGCCTGTGCTTCTTGCCAGTTGGGAAGCTTCCTGCGATTCTTGTAAGCCAGGGGTCTTCCAACTGGGCCCTTTGATGACTGGTGGACTTCAACTCCCAGAATCCCTCAGCCAGCGTGAGGCAACTATGACCCTTTGATGACTTGTGGACTTCAACTCCCAGAATTCTTCAGCCAGCGTGAGGCAACTATGACCCTTTGATGACTTGTGGACTTCAACTCCCAGAATTCCTCAGCCAGCGTGAGGGAACTAGGACCCTTTGATGACTTGTGGACTTCAACTCCCAGAATTCCTCAGCCAGGCGTGAGGCAACCAGGACCCTTTGATGACTTGTGGACTTCAACTCCCAGAATTCCTGAGCCAGCGTGAGGCAACTATGACCCTTTGATGACTTGTGGACTTCAACTCCCAGAATTCCTCAGCCAGCGTGAGGGAACTAGGACCCTTTGATGACTTGTGGACTTCAACTCCCAGAATTCCTCAGCCAGGCGTGAGGCAACCAGGACCCTTTGATGACTTGTGGACTTCAACTCCCAGAATTCCTCAGCCAGGCACGGTTAGGATCGAACTGCTAGCAGTGGGCCGAGTTAGCTTGCAATGCTGCATTCTAACCCCTGGGAAGGAAGGAAGGAAGGAAGGAAGGAAGGAAGGAAGGAAGGAAGGAAGGAAGGAAGGAAGGAAGGAAGGAAAATGTGAAAGAAGGAAGCAAGAAGGAAGGATGGAAAATGAGAAAGAAAGAAAGGAAACAAGGAAGGAAGGAAAATGAGAAAGAAGGAAAGGAAGGAGAAAAAAGGAAGGAAAATGAGAAAGAAGGAAAGGAAATGAGAAAGAAGGAAAGGAAACAAGAAGAAGGAAGGAAAATGAGAAAGAAGCAAAGGAAACAAGGAAGGAAGGAAGGAAGGAAGGAAGGAAGGAAGGAAGGAAGGAAAATGAGAAAGAAGGAAAGGAAAAAAGGAGAAAAAAGGAAGGAAAATAAGAAAGAAGGAAAGGAAGGAAGGAAAATGAGAAAGAAGGAAAGGAAACAAGGAGAAGGAAGGAAGGAAAATGAGAAAAGGAAAGGAAACAAGAAGGAAGGAAAGGAAGGAAGGAAGACAGCAATAGCACCTAGACTTATATACCTCTTCACAATGCTTTTACAACCCTCTCTAAGCGGTTTACAGAGTCATCACATTGTCCCCAACAATCTGGGTCCTCATTTTACCAAGCTCAGAAGGACGGAAGGACGAGTCAACCTTGAGCCGGTCAGGATCGAACTGCTGGCAGTGGGCAGAGCTAGCCTGTAGTACTGCACTCTAACCACTGCGCCACCACAGCTCATCCCCCCCCCACAAAAAAGCCGGGCCTGGCAATTATATCCAATTATCACGATTTGCGACCTGACGATTGGGCCCCCGCTGGGTTTGAGGGTGGCAGCCCCTTACCTGGGACTGGCACTGGATGGGCTCCAGCTGCCGGTCACTCTGGGAGAGCTTCCGGGCCAGGGCCTCCTTGAGGGCCAGGGCTTGGTTCAGCTCCAGCAGCTCCTTGGACATCTGAGCTTGCTGGAGGGCGTGCTGGGCAGCGTAGTCGTCCGAAGACTGACGCGCCTCCAGGGGTACCGAGGACGTCTGGAGAAGAGAGAAGACAGGGTACGTGCGTGAGTGCGCGTGTGAGATTAAAGAACATTAACACTGTTGCGCAGCCCAGAGAGGGGGAGGGGGGAAAAGGGATGGTTTTGTATGGGGTGTGTGTGTGTGTGTGAACATGCCCACACATGAACACCTGTTGCTCGCACAAGCGGGGCGGCGAACCCCGGCAAAGCTCACACGGGTGGGGCTGTGCGCGCCTGCACACCCCCACAAACGCGGACCGGCCAGCCGTTCATGTGGCCCGGTGGCCCATAGGCCACGGCCCACAGGTTGGGGACCCCTGACGTAGAGGGCTGGCTGTACTTACAGGATCAGACTGCTGCTCCGTTATGTCCATGTCGGCAATAGCAGGATGTTCCTTTTGTAGAAAACCCGAAAAAACAATTTTAGGAGGGCGGGTCGGAGGGGAGAGAGAGAGAGAAAGAAAGGGAAAGAGTGAGAGTGAGAGAGAAAGATAGAACGGGAGGGAAAGAGTGAGAGTTGACTGTGTGTGTGTGAGAGAGAAAGAAAGGGAGAGAAAGAGAAAGAGTGAGAGTGTGTGTGTGTGAGAGAGAAGAATAGAAAGGGAAAGAGTGGGTGTGTGTATGAGAGAGAGAAAGGGAGAGAAAGAGTGAGAGAGTGTGTGTGTGAGAGAGAAAGGAAGAAAGATAGAACAGGAGAGAAAGAGTGAGTGTGTGAGAGAGAGAAAGGGAGAGAAAGAGAAAGGGAGAGAGAAAGTGAGAGAAAGAGAGTGTGTGAGAGAGAGAAAGGGAGAGAGAAAGATAGAACGGGAGAGAAAGAGTGAGAGTGTGTGTGTGAGAGAGAGAGAGAAAGGGAGAGAAAGTAAAAGAGAGAGAAAGAGAGTGAGAATGTGTGTGAGTCAGAGAGAAAGGGAGAAAGATAGAATGGGAGAGAAAAAGAGTGTGTGTGTGTGAGAGAGAAAGATAGAATGGGAGAGAGAAAGAGAGTGAGAGAGAGAAAGGGAGAAAGAGAGAAAGGGAGAGAAAGAGAGAGAAAACAACAAGGGATATGTTTTTACAGTAACCACAAACATTACATCAGGAGTAGGTAGATTGCATTTTTTTTGTTGACTCCCTTACAATACTGGAATTCTGGATCATCTAACCAAGACTGAAGAGGGGCAGGACTGGAAAGTGAACAGAAGACGTACGTTTTTCTCTGTCACCACTGTAAAAATTGAAGGGTGGACTGGACCAGGTTTTGGCCCACAAAACAGCCCCCTTCAACGTTCACCGCACCTTCCACTTAGACCCAACCCTAGCAAATACGGCTCAAAATCAAATAAGCGGGTTTATTTTGCAGGTTAAGCCTCCCTAGAACCGTTTTGGGAAAGGCTGCCTCCCCGCCCCCCGAGGCGGCTGACAGCGGGGTCCCCTGAAAAGAGAGCCCCGTTTTGGGGGGGATAACCCTCACCAGCAGCTGAGCAATGGCTTGCTGTAGCTGGATAAATAGCTCCAGGGGCTCTTTCAGCTCTTCGTCCTCCAACGACGTCAGCAGCTTCTCCAGGTCGAGTTTTAACCTGAAATTTCAAGGTGAATATTTGGAGGCTTTTCCCCCCACACTGCAGATTTGCTTGGCTGGGGGGCTTGGGACCCCGGCTGTCTTTCCCCCTCTTGGCCTAAACCGGTGCTTTTCCATTTGGATAACTTTAATTTGGATAACTTCACCTCCCAGGATTCCCCAGCCAGCTCTGCTTTAAGCCGGGTGGACTTCAGCTCCCAGAATTCCCCAGCCAGCCATGCTTTAAGCTGGGTGGACTTCAGCTCCCAGAATTCCTTGGTCATCATGCTTTAAGCCGGGTGGACTTCATCTCCCAGAATTCCCCAGCCAGCGTGTTTAAGATGGGTGGACTTCAATTCCCAGAATTCCCTGGTCCTCATGCTTTAAGATGGGTGGACTTCAACTCCCAGAATTCCTCAGTTAGCCATACTTTAAAATGGATGGATTTCAACTCCCAGAAATCTTCACCCAGCATCCTTTAAGCCAGGTGGACTTCAACTCCCAGAATTCCCCAGCCAGCATGTTTTAAGATGGGTAGATTTCGACACCGGCATGCTGGCTGGGGAATTCTGGGAGTTGAAGTCCACCCGCCTTAAAATTCCCACGTCATCCTTGACTTACGACCACAATTGGGAGGCTAAGTTCCGTGGCTAAGCAGAGCGGTGGTTAAGTGAGCCATACCCATTTTTTTTGCCCACGGTCGTTAAATGAATCCCCACGGCCGCTAAGCAAATTGTGTGGTAGATCCTGGCTTTCCCCACTGACTTTGCTCGTCGGAAAGTCACAAAAGGGAATCACGGGACCCCGGGACGCTGCGACCTTCATAAATACATGCCGGTTGCCGGCATTTTGACCCGGTGACCGTGGGGATGCTGAGACGGTTGCAAGCACGAGGGCCAGTCGTAAGTCGCTTTTTTTCAGCGCCGCTGTAACATTGGTCGCTAAACAAGGACTACCTGTATATATCTCCCTTTTCGCATTTCAGACATGGCTGATCCGTTGCTCTGGGTCTCATTTAAGAAGACTGTCAACGCTGCTAACGTCAGATGTTCTTGCTTGGACAACATATGGAGATGCCACCTTTTTAGTTTTTATGCTTTACTCTTAGAGTTAAATGATACTGGGGGGGGGAGAGGAGGAGGAATGTGATGGGAGTTAGTTAGACATAACAATATTGCAATAGTGTCTGAACTCAGGGCTTTTGAAATAAGAGCTGATAAGGAAAGGCGGGCTGGAGAACTGGAGGGAAAGTCTGCATTTCAAGCGAATTGGACAATGTGATTTAGGACGGTTAATTAGAGGTGCCCAGGGGAGGGGACTTCAGTTTTTGGCTTTGATTATGCAGTGGCAATATTATGCTACTCGAATAAAAGATTCTTTAAGGTAAACAATGCCTCGAAGTTCTTTTGAAGAGTTTCATCTGTCGGAACCATGACAAAGACCTTGGACAATGTCAAGAAGACACTGGACATTCATTTGTCTGAAATGGTCTAAGATGTCCTGCCTGAGCAGGGGGTTGGACTAGAAGACCTCCCAGGTCCCTTCCAACTCTTGTTACTCTATTCCATCCATACCTCAAGTGACCTCTAAGCAGGAGAGCGAAGGAGCTACTTACGCTGCATGTTCTCGGAGGTCTTCCATCTTCTGGCCGATCTTTTCATTTTGCTGCTCGGTCTGCAGAAGTGGGGGAAAAGGGCTTCTCTTTAGGACAGTCTCTAGGCCAGGGGTCTTCAAACTTGGTCCTTTGATGACTTGTGGACTTCAACTCCCAGAATTCCTCAGCCAGCGTGAGGGAACTATGACCCCTTTATGACTTGCGGACTTCAACTCCCAGGATTCCTCACCCAGCGTGAGGGAACTATGGCCCTTTGATGACTTGTGGACTTCAACTCCCAGAATTCCTCAGCCAGCGTGAGGGAACTATGACCCTTTCATGACTGTGGACTTCAACTCCCAGAATTCCTCAGTCAGCGTGAGGGAACTGTGACCCTTTTCTGACTTGTGGACTTCAACTCCCAGAATTCCTCAGCCAGCGTGAGGGAACTATGGCCCTTTGATGATTGGTGGACTTCAACTCCCAGAATTCCTCAGTCAGTGTGAGGGAACTGTGACCCTTTTCTGACTTGTGGACTTCAACTCCCAGAATTCCTCAGCCAGCGTGAGGGAACTATGGCCCTTTGATGACTGTGGACTTCAACTCCCAGAATTCCTCAGTCAGCGTGAGGGAACTAGGACCCCTTTATGACTTGTGGACTTCAACTCCCAGAATTCCTCAGTCAGCGTGAGGGAACTGTGACCCTTTTCTGACTTGTGGACTTCAACTCCCAGAATTCCTCAGCCAGCGTGAGGGAACTAGGACCCTTTGATGACTTGTGGACTTCAACTGCCAGAATTCCTCAGCCAGCGTGAGGGAACTAGGACCCCTTTATGACTTGCGGACTTCAACTCCCAGAATTCCTCAGCCAGCGTGAGGGAATATGACCCTTTGATGACTTGTGGACTTCAACTCCCAGTATTCCACAGCCAGCGTGCCTGGCTGAAGAATTCTGGGAGTTGAAGTCCACAAGTCATAGAAGGGCCACGTTTGAAGACCCCTGCTTGTGGGCACGCTGGCTGAGGAATTCTGGGAGTTGGAAGTCCACAAGTCATCAAAGGGCCAGGTTTGAAGACCCCTGCTCTAGGATACCTCTTGTCCCAGGTGTTGGCCATAGGTGGGACAATGGCTCCTTAGCACAGATGGGTGCCAGGTTCTTGTGGTTTTTTTATGTTTTAATTTGTTGAATTTTAGAATAATTTTCTTGTTTATTTTTTAAAAAATGTTTTGGATGGGGAGTTGCCCAGAGGCGTTTGAACGATGCGAGGCTGTGTAAATAATGTTTTAAATAAAATAAAACAAATAAAATGCCGGTATGAGAAGAATGGACAAGTTCTCTAAAAGTCACCATAAGCCCGTTTAGGCTGGTGGCTTCCTATATTAATTTTCCGCCTTCGTCTAGCCCAGGGCTCTTCAAACTTGGCCACTTTTGTGGACTTCAACTCCCAGAATTCCTCAGCCAGCGTGCCTGGCTGAGGAATTCTGGGAGTTGAAGTCCACAAGCAGGGCTCTTCAAACTCGGCCCTTTGATGACTGGTGGACTTCAACTCCCAGAATCCCTCAGCCAGCGTGAGGGAACTATCACCATTTTATGACTTGTGGACTTCAAATCCCAGAATTCCTCAGCCAGCGTGAGGGAACTATGATCCCTTTATGACTTGTGGACTTCAACTCCCAGAATTCCTCAGCCAGCGTGAGGGAACTATGGCTCTCTTTATGACTTGAGAACTTCAAATCCCAGAATTCCTCAGCCAGCATGCCTGACTGAGGAATTCTGGGAGTTGAAGTCCACAAGCAGGGCTCTTCAAACTCGGCCCTTTGATGACTGGTGGACTTCAACTCCCAGAATTCCTCAGCCTGGCAGTGCCTGGCTGAGGAATTCTGGGAGTTGTAGTCCACCAGTCACCAAAGGGCCAAGTTTGAAGACCCTTGATCTGCCCCGTCTCCAAAAAAAACACATTCCGATTACAGGAAGGCTTAAATCCCCCAAACGCATTTTTCCCCCCACCAAGGAAGAATGTGTTCCTCTTTTTTGGGTGGGGGTTGGGAAGTGTGTGTGTTTGTGTGTGTGTGTGGTGTCCTTTAGCAGGACATTTGTGTGCCCGATCGCTTCCGGCAGCTGGGATCTTACCATTATGATCCTCTCCAACATCTGAGCAATCTGACCGGCGGCTTCGCTCAAACCACGGCTGAGTTTTTCGTTCTCTTCCAGGAGCGAATGGTTCTTCTCCATCAGGGACGGGAGATTTTCGGCGGGCTCCCCTCTGTCAGGGGGGGAGAAGAGAAGCATCAGATCTATCCCAGTGTGCCAGAAAAAAAACCCCACACCCACACAAAAACATCCTTATATTTCAGGGGTTTCCAAATCTGGCCACTTGAAAAGACCGGTGGACTTCAACTCCCAGAATTCCCCAGACAGCACAACTGGCTGGGGAATACTGGGAGGTGGAAATCCGGCTATATTTGATACCTAAGAGGGTCTTCCAGTTTCTTTGTGGGTGCAATTCGAGCCCTACGTGGCAGGAGGCCCGGCTACCTGCAGCCTCACCTTTCCCTAAGGACATCTACCTGTCCTACCAGGTCAGACAGGGTGGGCACGCTCCTAGTCCCTTCTCCCAAATACTGCCATCTGACGGGGGTCCAGAAAGTGGACCTTTTCTGTGGTAGACCCAAAAGAAACACCTCAAGGCAGGGGTCTTTCCAACTTGGCCCTTTGATGCCTTGGGGGCTTCAACTCCCAGAATTCCTCAGCCAGGCAGTGCCTGACTGTGGGGGTCCTTGGTGCTCTCTGAGCCGGGTGGTTTTCTTGCAGACGCCTCAGGACCCAGCTAGGGAACGTCATCCGTGCTAAATGGGGTTGGGGTTTGAGGAGCGGAGGAGGAAGAGGAGAGGAAGGACTGTGGGGTCCTTGGTGCTCTCTGAGCTGGGTGGTTTTCTTGCAGACGTTTCAGGACCCAACTAGGGAACGTCATCAGTGCTAGAAGGGAGTGTGGGAGAAGAGGAGGAGGAAGAGGAGGAGGAGGAGGAAGAGGAGGAGGACTGTGGGGTCCTTGGTGGTCTCTGAGCTTGGGGATCTTCTTGCAGACGTTTCATGACACAACTAGGGAACATTATCAGTGTAGGAGGAAGTGGAGTTTGTGGGGGGGAGGAGGAGGAAAATTGAGGGGTCCTGGGTGGTCTCTGAGCTGGGTGGTTTCATTGCAGATGTTTCATGACCCAACTAGGGAACATCATCAGTGCTGGAAGGGAGTGGGGTTTGCAGAGAAGAAGGGAGGGGAAAGAAGAGGAGGAGGAGGAGGAGGAAGAGGAGGAAGAGGAGGAGGAAGAGGAGGAGGAGGAGAACTGTGGGCTCCTTAGTGCTCTCTGAGCTGGGGGGGTTTCCTTGCAGACGTTTCAGGACCCAACTAGGGAACATCATCAGAGCTGGAAGGGAGAGGGGTTTGCAGAGAGGAGGAGGAGGAGGAGGACGACGACTGTGGGCTCCTTGGTGCTGTCAGAGCTGGATGGCTTTTTTGCAGACGTTTCAGGACCCAACTAGGTAACACCATCAGTGCTTAAAACCCGCTCATTTCATTAGCATCTACCAGAAAGCAACCCAACTCAGACAGCACCCAGGACCCCACAATCAAGCTTAAGAAGACAAACAAGAAGGGTGGGGGGGGGGTCTTCCTTGGGGGGGGAGGGCAGAGAAACATCTTCAAGTCTCCAGGGACCGAGGCACCCACCCTCCCCTCTTACCGAAGCGAGACGGGCAGCGTCCCCCCATGGGCTTGAAGCAGTAACACCTGCAGTTCCTGCACCTGGAGAGCGGAAACAAGAGACCGAGGGTCTGAATTTGAGAATTTTTTTTAACAAGCCTGATTAAAATCGCGCCGTCAGCAGCTTCTCCCGGTTCAGCGAGAAAACCCCACAGCAGAGACGGGCGGTCTTCTCACAACTTTTTTCTTTTTTCAAAACAATTTATTAGTTTCCCATTTTACACCAACACAGCTTAAGAACCCACGTGGAAACACGGTGATCCATTTTTTTAAAAAAACAAACAATAACCTAGTAAAAATAGATACCCATTACTTCTTAAAAATTTCCCTCTCTATATAGAATATTATAATCAAATTAATACATTTTCAAACGAATTCGTTCATCACTATGTCCAACCACCAACTGCGTTAATCGATAAAAAAATTTAATCTATAAAAAAAACCTATATTTCTTCTCACGTTTAAACGTAAGCTTAACGAACTCCGTTTGTTTAAAAACATTCTAACCAAGTCCATATCTTTCTGAAACCAATTCATTCACTAATGTAACATTTCATCCAAGTCATATATAATTAAAGATAAACTAACATTCTCGATCTATTTATATTGTTATAGACTCATTAAAACATTTCTAAAACAAATTTTCATTGAATGCTAGCTGTACCCGGCCACGCGTTGCTGTGGCTCAGTCTGGTTAAATTTACGTCCAACAGATGGCACTGGTTTTTTTTAAAAAGGCATGTTTTTACCTGTCACAGGTGTGACATCTATATAATAGTAGGTATATAAAAACACGCGCGCATTCGAATGCAATGTTGTGTCAAAATTTCAAAGCAATCGGTGAAGAACTTTCGGAGATTTAAGATTTTGAACAAACGAACATTTACATTTTTATTTATATATACTCGCTGTACCCGGCCACGCGTTGCTGTGGCTCAGTCTGGTTAAATTTACATCCAACAGATGGCGCTGTTTTTTTTAAAAAAGCATGTTTTTACCTGTCACAGGTGTGACATCTATATAATAGTAGGTATATAAAAACACGCGCATTCGAATGCAACGTTGTGTCAAAATTTCAAAGCAATCGGTGAAGAACTTTCGGAGATGTAAGATTTTGAACAAATGAACATTTACATTTTTATTTATATAGATAGAAGAAGATAGAAGATAGATGTAGATATCACTCTATATAAATTTCATTAATCAATAAAAGGTTACAAACTCATTATCCATCCCAAAGGTCCTGTATCGTGCTTCCTTAATTTTGCAAATATTTAATCTTAAACTAACACATTCAGTCTTCTCACAACGTTGAAGGCCCACCTCGCGCCAGGTTGCCCGTCTTACCTGCAACCTCAGCCGGCTGATCTCGGCCGCTTGCGGGTCCACGTTCACAATCGGCTTGTTCTTGATCTTTCGGGCCCGGTCGGCGTAGCGGAGGGTGTTCAAGCTCTCTTCCAGGTTGGAGTCCGCCGGGCTGACGCAGGCGATCATCAGCGTGTGGCTGTTGCCCCCCAAGGAATCTGAAAAGGATTTTTTAAAAAAAGAAGAAAAACCAGCCTCGGTGGAATCGCCTGGTGGTCTCCGCTCCCTTCCTCAAGAGCAGCCAGGCCGCCGTTCTCACCTTGCAGAAGCCGGGTGAGCTTAGAGTCGCGGTACGGGACAAAAGTGGCTTTCTTGGACTCGTCCCCCAGAGCGCTGATGACGTTCCCCAGGCAAAGCAGCCCTTTGTTGATGTTAATGCCTGCAGAGGGCGAGGAAGGAAAATGGGTCCTCTCGAAACCGTCTTTCTGGGCGGCCGTGGAGATTCTCAAGTCCTCCATCCCAAAAAGGTGTTTTTTTCCCCCCACTTTCGTGGGGGTCGCTGAGTTCAAAAGTGCGACATTTCTGCAAACGGGGTGTGTGTGGGTGTGTGTTACAAAGGTGGGTTTTTTTCCCAGGAGGCAACTGGGCTTCCTTTGTTTTTCCGTGGAAGACGGAAAATCGCTTCTGATCCGAGAAGCTTCTCCAGGTTCTGACTGTATGGTGGGGGAATTGAAGGATTTAATCCTCCTTTGCGGTCACCTGGTCATTTGCATCCTTTTAGAGTGAGCCCACTTGGAGGTTTGTCCCAAAAGTGCTTTTTTTCAAGAGGCAACTGGGCTTCCTTTGTTTTTAATAATAATAATAATAATAATAATAATAATAATAATAATAATAATAATAATAATAATAATAATAATAATAATAATAAAAGTTGGAAGGGACCTTGGGGGTCATCTAGTCCAACCCCCCGCTCAGGCAGGAAACCCTACACCATTTCAGACTAATAATAATAATAATAATAATAATAATAATAATAATAATAATAATAATAATAAAAGTTGGAAGGGACCTTGGAGGTCATCTAGTCCAACCCCCTGCTCAGGCAGGAAACCCTACACCATTTCGGACAAATGGCCGTCCAGTCTCTTCTTAAAAACTTCCAGTGTTGGAGCATTTACCGCTTCTGGAGGCAGGTGGTTCCACTGGTTAATTGTTCTCACTGTCAGGAAGTTTCTCCTTAGTTCCAGGTTGCTTCTCTCCTTGATTAGTTTCCATCCGTTGCTTCTTGTCTTGCCTTTGGGTGCTTTGGAGAATAGCTTGACTCCCTCTTCTTTGGGGCAGCCCCTGAGATACTGGAACACAGCTATCCTGTCCCCCCTCGTCCTTCTCTTTGTTAAACTAGACATACCCAATTCCAGCAGCCATTCCTTGTATGTTTTGGCCTCCAGTCCCCAAATCCTCTTTGTTGCTCTTCTCTGTACTCTTTCTAGAGTCTCAACATCTTTTTTACATCGTGGTGACCAAAACTGGATGCCGTATTCCAAGTGTGGCCTTACCAAGGCTTTGTAAAGTGCTATTAACACTTCACCTGATCCTGATTCTGTCCCTCTGTTAATGCAGCCCAGCACTGTGTTGGCCGTTTCGCTTCCCGTCCCTGAAGCTTTGTCTGACTGGATGGTGGGGAATGGAAGGATTTATCCTCCTTTGCAGTCACCTGGTCATTTGCCTTCTTTTAGAGAGTCGTTGAGGCCACTTGGAGGTTTGTCTTGTGTCCTTAGGCTCCCCCCCCCAAGTGGTGCAAATGGGTGGGGAGCCTTCTTGGCTGCAGGATGTTTTCTGCCTTGTGTCCCTGCAGCCACCCATTTGCACCACTCAGGGGACCCTGAGGACACAAGACAAACCTCCAGGTGGCCTCAACGACTCTCTAAAAGAAGGCAAATGACCAGCTGCTCTGCAAGGAGTATAAATCCTTCCACTCCTGCCACTATAGGGTTTCCTGTCTGAGCAGAGGCTCAGATTAGATAACCTCCAAGGTCCCTTCCAACTCTTGTTATTCGGATCTGATCCTTCACGGTTGAAGAGAGGCGTGGGCTGTTGGGGATGAGTACAACTGCACCACTCAGGTGAGACTGAGGATACAGGTAAACCTCCAGGTGGCCTCAACAGCTCTCTGAAAGAAGGCAAATGACCAGCTGTCTGCAAGGAGTATAAATCCTTCCTTTCCCCCCACCATCCAGTCAGAGCTGAAGAAGCTTCTGGCATGAGAAGCGAAACATCTTCAGAGGAAGACAAGAATGTCCAGCTGCCTCCTGAAAAAGCACCTTTGGGACAAACCTCCAAGTGGCCTCAACGACCCTCTAAAAGAAGGCAAATGACCAGCTGTCTGCAAGCAGTATAAGTCTTTCCATTCCCCACCATCCAGTCAGAGATAAACCTCCAAAGAACCAGAGGGCAGGGCGAGAAACAATGGGTGGAAACTGATCAAGGAGAGAAGCAACCTGGAATTAAGGAGAAACTTCCTGACAGGGAGGACAACTTAACCAGTGGAACAGCTTCCCACCAGAAATCGTGGGCGCTCCATCACTGGAGGTTTTTGAGAAAAGACTTGTCTGAGATGGGATAGGTTCTCCTGCTTGAGCAGAGGGCTGGACTAGAAGACCTCCAAGGTCCCTTCCAGCTTCTATTCTATTCTATTCTATTCTATTCTATTCTATTCCATTCCATTCCATTCCTTATTCTATTCTATTACATTCCGTTCTAAATTCTATTCTAAATTCTATTCTATTCTATTCCATTCTAAATTCTATTCTATTCTATTCTATTCTATTCTAAATTCTATTCTATTCTATTCTATTCTAAATTCTATTCTATTCTATTCCATTCCAAATTCTATTCTAAATTCTATTCTATTCTATTCCATTCCATTCTAAATTCTATTCTAAATTCTATTCTTAATTCTATTCTATTATTATTCTATTGAAGTTGGCCTTACATCTGGTAGTTTTTCCCCTTTTACCTTCTCGCAGCCGATCTCCTTCGGCTTTCGTCTTCTTCTGCCTCTCCGAACCGGCCAGGTCAACCAGATGCAGTTTGGAAAGAAAGCCAACGTTCCTAAACCGGGGAAAATTCAGTTAGCTACAGAAGGCAACCCGATGGCAAAAGGTTGGGAATTTGAGAAAAGAGCTTTAATGTGTGTGGAGTGTTTAAAACACGAACTGGGGCCCAAGAAGAAGCCCACAAGAGCAAAATAAGGGGGCGTTCTCCTCTCCCTCAATATCTCTTCTGCTGCTAGGACAACTCTTTATTTTATTTAGATTTGTTTTCATCCCGCCTTGATCATTTTTAGAAATAATTCAAGTGGCAAATGTACAGAGTCCTTTCTCTTCCCCCTGTTTTCCCCACAACCACCCTGTGAATTGAGTAGAGACAGGAACTGGCCCAAAGTCACCCAACTAGCTTTTATGCTTAAGGTGGGACTAGAACGCCCAGTCTCCTGGTGACTGGCCCAAAGTCACCCAGCTGCCTTTAATGGCTAAGGTGGTACTATAACTCCCAGTCTCCTGGTGATTGTCCCAAAGTCACCCGGCCGGCTTTCATGCCTAAGGCAGGATTATAACTCCCAGTCTCCTGGTGATTGTCCCAAAGTCACCCAGCTGGTTTTCATGCCTAAGGCAGGACTATATCTCACAGTCTCCTGGTGACTGGCCCAAAGTCACCTGGCCGGCTTTCATGCCTAAGGTAGAACTATAACTCCCAGTCTCCTGGTGATT